TTCACTTTTAAAAAAGAATCCTCAAAATATTATCATACATTTGTATAAAGTTAAAGACTGTAGCAGTGAAGTGGAATTCTTTCACTGCATGAACTTGTGTATTTATGAAAATTAACCAATCTGAATCAATTTTCATTATTGAAGTAAATTAACCATTATTTTCTTCAGTTTCTCTTCAGATTCTGTCAGACAGGTTTGCTTCTGCTGCAAGTCACTCTGTAAATTCCCAATCTCACTTTGCAGCTCATCTGAGATTAGAAAAAATATATACAAACCTAATAGAGTCTGAAAGCTAAATGTGATGTATCTTTAGCATTGCACAAAAAGAAAATACAAACATGTTGCAATCTATTAATTGCCAATTTTGCATAAAATATATCATAAGTTTTTATCTAGTTAACTATATTTTCACATAACAAAATTGTTTTACTCAAAAAACTTCCGATTAAAAAAAAATCAGATGCTTATCAATAAGCAAGAATTAATCTGACCCACTGTTGCTTTAATCTTTTTTAGAGGATACCTATAACAGAGTTCATCTTGTGTATTTCATCCTCATTCTTGCAGAGTTCAGCCCTAACATCTCGAATCTCTAGGTCTTTCTCATCACACAATTTCTCCAAATCATTCAGCTGCATAATAGATAAAACAGTGCATTAATTCTTTTCATAAATTGAAACAAGAGGCCCAAGGGCCTTGAATCGCTCTTCTGATAAATTGTACAACCTATCACTTGTATTTGAAGCCTCTAACCCTAAGTATCCTAAGACCAAAGTTGCATCACCTGACAAAGTTTGATGATACTTAGCCAATTAGGACTACTTCTTGGTCTACATTCTTGGAAAACCCAAAATGCATCAACTGACACAGTTTGATTATTCTAAGCCAATAAATACCTAAGATACTTAAATATAGCCATAAAATGTCGAAAGTAGGTCACTGTGACCTACTCTTTGGTCGACATTCTCCGAAAACCCAAGATGCATCAACTGACAAAGTTTGATGATTCTAAGCCAGTAAGTAGCGGAGATACTTAAATATAGCCATAAAATGTCGAAAGTAGGTCACCATGACCTACATTTTAGTCGACATTTTTCAGAGTCCAAAGATGCATCTGCTGACTAAGTTTGATAATTCTAAGCCAATAATTACCTGAGATATTCAAAAGTAGGTCATCGTGACCTACTTTTTGGTCGACATTCTCCGAAAACCCAAGATGCATAGAATGACAAAGTTTGATGATTCTAAGCCAATAAGTACCTAAGATACTTAAATATAGCCATAAAATGTTGAAAGTAGGTCACCGTGACCTAATTTTTGGTCGTCACTCTCCGAAAACCCAAGATGCATCAACTGACAAAGTTTGATGATTCTAAGCCAATAAGTACCAGAGATACTTAAATATAGCCATAAAATGTCGAAAGTACGTCACTGTGACCTAATTTTTGGTCGTCACTCTCCGAAAACCCAAAATGCATCAACTCACAAAGTTTGATGATTCTAAGCCAATAAATACCTAAGATACTTAAATATAGCCATAAAATGTCGAAAGTAGGTCACCGTGACCTAATTTTTGGTCGTCACTCTCCGAAAACCCAAGATGCATCAACTGACAAAGTTTGATGATTCTAAGCCAATAAATACCTAAGATACTTAAATATAGCCATAAAATGTCGAAAGTAGGTCACTGTGACCTACTCTTTGGTCGACATTCTCCGAAAACCCAAGATGCATCAACTGACAAAGTTTGATGATTCTAAGCCAATAAGTACCGGAGATACTTAAATATAGCCATAAAATGTCGAAAGTAGGTCACCGTGACCTAATTTTTGGTCGTCACTCTCCGAATACCCAAGATGCATCAACTGACAAAGTTTGATGATTCTAAGCCAATAAGTACCTGAGATATTCAAAAGTAGGTCACTGTGACCTACTTTTTGGTTGACATTCTCCGAAAAACCCAAGATGCATCAACTGACAAAGTTTGATGATTCTAAGCCAATAAGTACCGGAGATACTTAAATATAGCCATAAAATGTCGAAAGTAGGTCAACGTGACCTAATTTTTGGTCGTCACTCTCCGAAAACCCAAGATGCATCTGCTGACTAAGTTTGATAATTCTAAGCCAATAATTACCTGAGATATTCAAAAGTAGGTCATCGTGACCTACTTTTTGGTCGACATTCTCCGAAAACCCAAGATGCATCAACTGACAAAGTTTGATGATTCCAAGCCAATAAGTACCGGAGATACTTAAATATAGCCATAAAATGTCGAAAGTAGGTCACTGTGACCTAATTTTTGGTTGTCACTCTCCGAAAACCCAAGATGCATCAACTCACAAAGTTTGATGATTCTAAGCCAATAAATACCTAAGATACTTAAATATAGCCAAAAATTGTCGAAAGTAGGTCACCGTGACCTACATTTTGGCCGACATTTTTCAGAGTCTCAAGATGCATCTCCTGACCAAGTTTGATGATTTTAGGTCTGAAAGTAATCAAAATATGCCTTTTAAACAATTTGAAAACATATGCCTGCAAAATTCTAAAAGTAGGTCACAGTGACCTACTTTTTCTTAAATATGTTTAAAGGTCCCAAGATGCAGCAACTTACAAGATTTGATGATTCTAACCCTTTCAGTGCCTGAAATAATGGGATAAAATGTTTTAAAAAGGTTAAGTCATAAAGTTCAAAAAGTAGGTCACGGTGACCTACTTTTAAGTTGACTTTGTTCAAGGACCCAAGATGCATCAACTGACTAAGTTTCATGATCATAGGCCTTAAAGTGTCATATTCAATTTGAAAACAAATGCCCGCAAAATTAAAAAAGTAGGTCACCATGACCTACTTTTGAGTTAACATGATGTGAAGTCCTAAGATGCATCAACTTACAAGATTTGATGATCCTAGTCCTTGTAGTAAGTAAAATATAAACATTTTTATTAATTGTAAATTTAGGTCAACTTTAAAGTGACCTTGAGACCACGCCCTTTGCCCCAGGGTCATGCCTTGAACAAGTTTTAATCTTCAACATATCCTGATCCTTGTATGTAAATTTGGTGAAAATCTGCCAGGCGGTTCTGGAGAAGAAGATTTTTTAGCAACTAGGACTTTTGGTTTTGTTTTCCTGATTATCTCCCCTTGTTTTAGGGTCCCAACCCTTATTTTAGTATAAATGGTAGCCCTTGGGCCAAGTATACCCTGTGGAAAATTTAGTACTGATTGGCCAAAGGGTTCTTGAGTTATGGCCCATATTCTAACAAGAGGCCCATGGGCCACATTGCTCACCTGAGCACTGTGGCTAGGAAAAAGTAGAAATTGGTTTATTATTTAATAATTTAAATCCAAAAGTAGTCCCAATACCAATCCTGGCTTTGCTATTCTTGATAAGATGATTTTTAAAGAATTTTCCTATATATGTCTATGAAAAACTTTGGTCGGCCATTGTGGCCCCGCCCTACCCCCTGGGTTATGATTTGAACAAACTTGAATCTACACTACCTGAGGATGCTTTCATATAAATATGATCAATTAGGGCTTTGTGATTCTTGAGAAGAAGATTTTTAAAGAAATTTCCTATATATTTCTATGTAAAACTTTGGTCGGCCATTGTGGCCCCGCCCTACCCCCGGGGGTCATGATTTGAACAAACTTGAATCTACACTACCTGAGGATGCTTTCATATAAATATGACCAATTATGGCTTTGTTATTCTTGAGAAGAAGATTTTTAAAGAAATTTCCTATATATTTCTATGTAAAACTTTGGTCGGCCATTGTGGCCCCGCCCTACCCCCGGGGGTCATGATTTGAACAAACTTGAATCTACACTACCTGAGGATGCTTTCATATAAATATGACCAATTATGGCTTTGTTATTCTTGAGAAGAAGATTTTTAAAGAAATTTCCTATATATTTCTATGTAAAACTTTGGTCGGCCATTGTGGCCCCGCCCTACCCCCGGGGGTCATGATTTGAACAAACTTGAATCTACACTACCTGAGGATGCTTTCATATAAATATGACCAATTATGGCTTTGTTATTCTTGAGAAGAAGATTTTTAAAGAAATTTCCTATATATTTCTATGTAAAACTTTGGTAAGCCATTGTGGCCCCGCCCTACCCCCGGGGGTCATGATTTGAACAAACTTGAATCTACACTATCTGAGGATGCTTGCATATAAATATGATCAATAATGGCTGTGTGATTCTTGAGAAGAAGATTTTTAAAGAATTTTCCTATATATTTCTATGTAAAACTTTGGTCGGCCATTGTGGCCCCGCCCTACCCCCGGGGGTCATGATTTGAACAAACTTGAATCTACACTACCTGAGGATGTTTCCCCATAAGTTTCATCTTTCCTGGCTCAGTGGTTCTTGAGAAGAAGATTTTTAAAACATACCATCAAATTTTCATTAATTCCCAATTATCTCCCCTTAAATGAGGGCCTGGCCCCTCATTTGAACAAACTTGAATCCCCTTCACCCAAGGATGCTTTGTGGCAAGTTTGGTTGAAATCGGCCCAGCGGTTCTTGAGAAGAAGTCGAAAATGTGAAAAGTTTACAACGACGACGACGACAACGACAACAACGACGACGACGACAGACAACGGACAAATTGTGATCAGAAAAGCTCACTTGAGCCTTTGGCTCAGGTGAGCTAAAAAGTTAATGCACACCGCACACCGCACACCGCACACCGCACAAATGGCCATAGCATTAGCTCTTTGAGCCTTTGGCTCAGAAGAGCTAAAAATACATAAATATTTTCTATGCTTTGTGTGTTGTTTCTCTCTAGCAAACAGTATTGATGTATATGCCCATAATTATACGCAATTATTAAAAACAAGAGGCCCATGGGCCACATCGTACACCTGAGTAACTTTGGTGATGCAGTTTTTTACCAGATTTCCACTATTTTTATATCTATAGTGTGCCACCCCCTTGAGAATAAGATTTTTAAATATTAAAAACTTCCCTATTTTTGCCCTGCCATACCCCCTGGGGGTCATGATTTTCACAATTTAGAATCTACACTATCCAAAAATGCTTCCATATAAGTGTCAGCTTTTATAGTCCAGTGGTTCTTGAGAAGAAGATTTTTTAAAGGTTCTTTTTCCTGAAAATTTCAATGTAAAATTTGGATTCTCCTTTTGTGGCCCCACTCTATCCCTGGGGGTCATGATTTTTATAATTTAATTAAAATCCACACTACCCAGGATACTTCAACATAAATTTTAGCTTTAATGGCCCAGTGGTTCTTGAGAAGATTTTTAAAGTTATTTCCCTATATTTTCTATGTAAAACTTGGATTCCCTATTGTTGCCCCGCCCTACCCCTGGGGATCATGGTTCACAAAATTTAGAATCTACACTACCACAGGATGCTTCCACGAAAGTTTAAGCTTTTATGGCCCAGTGGTTCTTGAGGATACATGTAAGATTTTTTAATGACCCCACCCTATTTTTGTCTTTTCTTGATTATCTCCCCTTTGGAAGGGGTCTTGGCCCTTAAATTCATTATAACAATTTAAACTCCCTATCACCCAAGTATACTTTGTACCAAATTTGGTTAAAATTGGCCAAGTGGTTCTTGAGAAGAAGTTGAACATGAGAAAAGTTTACAAACAGACAGACGGACAGAGGGATAGATGCCGGGTGATCAGAAAAGCTCACTTGAGTTTTCAGCTCAGGTGAGCTAAAAATGTCAAGATTCATAAATCAAATAAATTTGCTTACAGTAGTTTTCATTTCTTCCTTGTGATTTTTCAGTTCTTTTTGCAGTTCCTCGCCTTTCTTTAATTCTGCTGTCACTTCACAATGAAAATTAAATAAATAATTTGGAATTTTTACAAGTAATCATAAAAATCTCAACTGTCCATAAAATTGTTTCCTGTCAATTTTATGCAGTACACATATCTGTGCAGACAATAAACCTTTATTGAGCAACCCATCAAAGGAAATGCTATATTCATTGCTATATATTTGCATGAATATTTAGTTAAACTTTGTAAATGGGCATTTACAACTTACATTTTTCTGTCAAATCTTCCTTCTCTTTCTTTGATGTTATATCAAGACTTGTAAACTTTTCTGATAACTCCTACAAAATGAAATAAGTGGATTGCAAATATTGAAAAAATCATCACACTCAATTGAAATTTAAGTGCCATCATTAAAATTAGGCCATTTCATGAAGTAATCTAAATCAGCCCCTGGATATCAATTTAAATAATCTGACTCACATAATTAAGAATTAATTGCTTCAAAAATGAACCAAAATCTATTTCTCATACCTCAAACTGCTTAACATGTTGTTTCTCAATATATTTCAGCTCAGTGCGCTCTGTTTCACCTTTAAAATGAAAAGAAAATGCAAATGATATAGCTACATGTATACTGTATTTAATATTTTGATGTTTTTTTAATTTGCAACAGTAATTGATAAATGGCTATTCATTCATTTGCAATGGATTCCTAAATAATCATGCATCTACTGTGTCATCAAGTCCTTTCTATTAAAGGTCTTAAAAACATACATTTTTGCAGTCTTTCCTCCGTATCAGCAGAGTGGTCTTTCAAAAGATTACACATGTCTCTTGTAGCATTTATTCTGAAATTGATACAATGGATAAAATGATGCATCACATAATGTTACATAATTATATGTATACATTATGATATAATAACATTTACACTTAAAGTAAAACCCATTCTAGATATATTTTATGCACATACTGGTACATATATATGTTACAATGTCATATTATACATGTACTTATACCTTAGTTAATTTGTTAAGAAAACACAGCTACTTAAAACTTTGAATTTTTTTTTTTAAATTCATTTACTCCTGCAGAGATTATCAAGAAAGTGAATTGAAGTACTTTAATTTTAAAGGAACTGAATTCAAATACTGATTGAGTTTATAATTATAATTACTACATAATTTATCATTGACCAAGAAGGTGCTCCCTTTCATGCTTTAAATACCTATGAAGAATTTCCTCCCTGCTGGTTATCTCTTCTTGAAGACGCAGACTGAGGCTTTCATTTTGAAGCTTAGCAGAAGGAAAGATTACAGCATAAATATTTAATATGATAATATTGTATGATAATTTTAATATAAATATGTACAAATGCATCAATATATTTTTTAATGTACAAATACATTCTACAAGAAAGTCTTAATTATAGTACCTGAAGTTCAAGAATAGATTTCCTCAGGCTTTCAATAGTGTGAGTAGATTCTTTTATTTTCTTGTCCTTTAGAAATAAGAAAATGAAAAGTTAATTAAATTTGGAAGTAAGTGTATCTAGAAAGAACAGAATGATTCAAAGATGCTCATAATTTTCAATCACTCCTGCACTAAAATTGAATGATCTGGAAAAAAATGTTTAAAAAAATAGTCTGAGATCTTGTCTCGAGTTGCATTCAATTAGAGAAAAATACGAATTATAATGATTTTTCTAAAAAATATATATATCAAATTTTGAAAAATTTGAACACAGCTTCATTAATTGTCATCTTATAAGCAAGTGATTGTGATAGTAAAATTAGATAAGATTTGAAGCCTTAATCCAGACTTTTACCTTTTGCTTGATTTCGATTTCGGTTTGGACTTTCCATTTCCTAATACGATCTGCCTCATGCTGCAGTTTCACATGTAGAGAAGATATCCTTTCATTGCCTTGGGTCTGTTCTTGTTGTTGTGAAATAACTTGGTTTTGTTCATTCTCTGAAAGCAGGAACGCAAAATTTATCAAACTTATAATGTATTTAAAATGTATGCAGGGCCCGGCAAATAACTTGATATTTATAATATTCATTTGTTAAAATAATGCAAACTAGAAATTTACCGTATAATCCCTATTAACCGCCCTGGGCGCTTAGAAAATTGCAAACAAGAGGCCCATGGGCCTTATAGGTCACCTGAGCATTATGCAACAACTTTCCAATGATTGAATTTCATCCATGGCTTAAGCCAGATGCTATAGCATTTACAATTTTGATCATCATAACTATACACTTAGCAGTTGCTTAGTTTGGTTACTTAATACCCATAGGCAGGGTAGGGGAACAAAAATGCATTTCAACAAATCAGTAATATTCAGCAATAATCAGTAGTGCCACTACCACACATGAACCCTTGACTCTAAGGCCTAGATCCACACATTGCACAATTTTGAAAAGGCATCCTTGCTTTTCAGAAGTATTTGATTAATACCATGGAGCAGATTTCAAACAATTCATTATTTTTCAGTATATAAGTACAGACCCCTCCCCCTCTATGGTACTACTGACCCTGGGGGCCTTGAAATTCACAATTCTGGAAGATAAGGGCCCTTGCTCATAACTATATAGGTAGTTCATATATGCTTAATACCCAGGAGCAGAGAAGAAAATATTCAAAGATTTAATGTTTTTTCACTATATAATCAATAGAGCCCCGCTCTAACACCAGAACCCCTGACCCTGGGGCCATAAAATTAACAATTTTGGTAGAGGCATTCTTGTTCATCATAACTAGGTACTTATTTAGTTTATTTAATACTTTGGAGCAGAGAAGAAGATTTTCAAAGAATTCATGTATTTTCACTATATAATCAATAGAGCTCCACCGTAACACCAGAACCCCTGACCCTGGGGCCATTAAATTCACAATTTAGGTAGAGGCACTCTTGCTCATCATAACTATGTACTTAGTTAGTTTATATAATACCCAGGAGCAGAGAAGAAGATTTTCAAAGAAATAACGCATTTTCACTACATAATCAATAGAGCCCAGCCCTAACACCAGAACCCCTGACCCTGGTGCCATAAAATTCACAATTTTGGTAGAGGCACTCTTGCTCATCATAACTATGCACTTAGTTAATTTATTTAATACCTACGAGCAGAGAAGAAGATTTTCAAAGATTTCATGTATTTTCACTATATAATCAATAGAGCCCCGCCCTAACACCAGAACCCCTGACCCTGGGGCCATAAAATTCACAATTTTGGTAGAGGCACTCTTGCTCATCATAACTATGTACTTAGTTAGTTTATTTAATACCCAGGAGCAGAGAAGAAGATTTTCAAAGAAACAATGCATTTTCACTATATACTTATTTAGCCCCACCCTAGCACAAGAACCCCTGACCCCAGGGCCATGAATTTCACAATTTCGGTAGAGGACTCAATGCTGATTACAATCATGCAAACAGTTTGACTGCTTGATGTCCAGGAGTAAAGAAGAAGATTTTTAAAGATTGCATTAATTTAAGTGGTTTTGGTCCCACCCCCCAGGCCCCAGGGGGGGGCAGGGATCATGAAATTCACAATTTTTGTTCCCCTTCATCCATAGATGCTTTGTGTCAAATTTGGTTGAAATTGGTTCAGTGGTTGCAGAGAAGAAGCTGAAAAATATTTACCATATTGTCCTTAGCTACAACAGTAAGCTACAATAGTGTAGCCTCCCCCCTCCTTCTCTGTTTATGGGGGAGGGGGATATCATTAAAAAAAACAAGAAATCTCTGAGCCAGTGCTCACTAAAAATACCCCCGCTCTGATGTGAATACCGGTAAATGTACACTTTCATGTTAATATATGTATACACAAGTTGCACAGAAAAATACGAAGTTGACATCAGATTCATATGAAAATTAATCCAGGGCTCGACAATAACTTTTTTTCCTACTTGTCCATTCGGACAAGTGACCCATTCGGACAAGTGACCAAGACATTTACTTGTACGAACTTCAACTTCACCAGTCCAAAAATTTTTCAATCAACTTATCAATATCTAATACTTGAAAACTGAAAATAAAGTTCATTACACATGTCATGTGCTTGATTGATTCGTGATGTTATTGATAAATACAAAAACATATAACACGAAATTTAATCTGGGCTCTCTGTCCTGACAATAATGTAAATGTCCACAAGTGAACCTGTCAACATCAAACAGAATCCACACTTTGGTTCCTAACTTCCATGACTTTCTGTAGTATGCAATCAGTGAAGTTCGATCCCGATCGAATGTGAACTCAATTAATATAGCGATAAATATCGGGATCGAAGTCTGGTTTTTATGTACAGCTTCCGTCTTGAAAATATTGATTAGCTTTCAACAGTCGTTCTTTTTATTATTTAGAGACTCCTTTACATAAAAATGCACTTGTCCAATCGGATCGACATAAGTGCCCAGCAATAATAAGCACTTGTCCCACTGATACCGGACAAGCGGACAAGCGTTAATGTCGAGCCCTGAATCCCACTACATGGCATGCCTCAACAAAGAGTGTACTAAAATTTCAATTAGAATTTTACAAAAATGGATCCCATTGTATGGCATGCCTCAGAAAGACTGTTAAAATTTCAAGCATCTGCGATGAGTAAGTTGCTGAGAAAACTGCGATGAAAATTATTTGTTATGTATGAAACGGACAGAAGAACGGATAAACAGGAAGTTGACATTGGATTTGAACAAAAAATGTATCCCACCATATGGCATGCCTCAGAAAAGATTGTGTTAAAATTTCAAGCATCTTAGTAACAATGAGTAGTTGCTGAGAAAACCGTGATGAAAATTTGTTATGTATGAAACGGACAGACGCACAAACAGGAAGTTGACATCGGATTTGAACAAAAGTGCATCCCACCATATGGCATGCCTCAGTAAAGATTGTGTTAAAAATTTCAAGCATCTATGATGAGTAGTTGCTGAGAAAACTGTGACGAAAATTTGTAACAGACAGAGACACGGACACACAGATCGACAGCTGGACAGACACACAAGGGTAAAACAGTATACCCCCCTCTCCTTCGGACCAGGGGTATAAAAAATGGAGAGTGCAGTGCATTATTGCAGCTACAAAAACAAGTTGCACAGACTGATATCTGTCAATGATTCATAAAGGGTCATCAGTAATCCTTTGAAACAAATTTTCATTTTATCAATCTTTTCAACAAAAAAAAGCCTTTTTTTTTTATTTTTGTAGCCCCGGCCATGCACTAGCCTGATCTAAGCAATCAGTGATCTATACAAATTAGGAAGGCAGCTAGGCTACTACTATTACTGTAAGAAATAAAAAAAAAAAAAAAAAAAATTCAATATACTACATCTAATATACAGTGTACCTCTTGCTTTACTGGTCTGAAATTGTGCTGAATTTTGCTGGAGTTTTGGTCGTACTTGCATCTGTGGTGCCAGGGAACATGGGGAAGTCTAAAAAAAAAAATCATCAATTGATCACTCTTTATCAATAATTTCACAAAAACTGAACAGTATAATTTAAATCCATTACTGCAAAACAATGTATATCAATATATTGAATAAATGCCTGACATGAATCTCATCTTTAGTTTAAACATATAAGCCTAGCTACTGTATTTAATGTGGATTAAATAATTTGTCAGTTAAGAACTATTGGAATTTGGAGATGGTATAGAGAAAGTTCAGAAACTCAACGTTAGTGACGGTATAAGTATGATTTTACCTCATATGTTCGGTTATTCGTATTTATATTTTGTTCACTGAAAGATAACGGTTTAAAAAAGGGTTGCTGCTGTTCTCTCATCTGTTGCATTTTTGACTGCTCTGCAATGATCTTTCAGTTTCACTTGATGAAGGATTTTCTGACTTGTATTAAAAATATAAAACTGGAGAAAAAGAAAAAAATATCACAGTAAATATTATAAACAATAGTGAGTGCGTTCAAATCATACTGAGATATCGAAATACACATGAAAGTAAAGCACTGGTTGTAAACAATCGCATCTCACCTCCCATCGTCTGCTAATTAGCTTTCGGAAGATCTCGTGCTGCGTCCCGAAAGTCTACAGAGCAGTCTAAAAGTAGTTAGGCGTAAGCGTTCCTCCTGTATATTAGCTTTTTTCAATATGATTATTTGAAATTTTAAATTCTTGAAAACTTTCAATGATTTTAATTGAATTTTAAGGTCTTCAAAACATTTATTTCTACCAGAAAGAGTCTTCAAATGAAGTGAATAAACTAAAATATAGAAAATATTTCGCGCAGCTCTGTAGAAGAACCAGAAAGCGCCACCTATCAGACCGGAAGTGAAACATAATCCATGAAAATGAAAACAACAGTGAACAGAGTGTCATTGTCGAAATCTTAAGTTACTGAATGTTATTATGTTACTTGATTGTTAATTGAAAACCATGTTTTTCATTTGAGTCAACATAATGTCGAGTCAAATGTCTGCGATGCGATTCGCAGACTATTTCGTTGTGTGTGGACTGGATACAACGACGGGGTTAGAACCAGATCAGTTGGCAGGTGCTTGAAATTATTTAATCTTCTGAAAGTTTTATAGAGCAAGGATAAAATTGCAAATGTAACTATCCTTTAGAAAACAAAGAAAAGATGTCTTTTTACCCTGTCAAATTAAATCAGAGGACGAATACCGATTTAAACGGGTTTTTATGTTTCCAGTAAGCCTTGGTCCCAATATTTGTGTTGAGTTCATGTGTTATATGAGCTGAATTATGTATATATAATTTCATTATATATTTCATTTCCCATAGGAGATAACTTACAGTGTCCACCACTTGACCGTCCATTTAAATCAAAAGTATTACAACATGTTCCAGACAACGTTCCTTGGAATCCATTCGATAATGCAGCAGTCGGAATGGTATGAACATTTCACATCATTGTGTAACTCATGTTCAATTGAAATAAGGATAGATCCTGGAAATTATCTTTCGAACTCAAGGGTTTCTGATCCACTCTGCTACATAAACCTTTGACCAAACAGACTAAGTTTGACAGGGTTTACCAGAGTTTTTGAAATAAAAAAATATTCACTGGTCAAGTGGACCAGTGATTTAGTGAAATTTACCGGTCCACACAAATATTCACTGGTCCATCAGCATACACATATTCAAAAACAAAAAAAATGTTTTAATTCCAGTATAGGCCTTAAAAATCAATAGGGTCAAATATCCCCGGACTGAATTAACCAGGTGTGATATTTTTAGTGGATACCCAACATGGCTGCCTACCGCAGAAAACGAAGTTCTAAATGTTGTGGGGATAATGTTTAATTTAACAATAATGATTATGAACTCTTTATATTAAAGGTAAATAATGATTAGGTTGACATATGTTGTATCCCAAATAAAGCTACAATTAACATTTTTGTACAAATTGAATTAACTGATTGAACAAATACAGATACGACAGAAAAAAAAATCATGACTATCTGTCGTAAAAGCCCTTGAGTTTATTCTATCATACACACAGATCCAATCCTTTAGACTATCTCACAAATAAACTTAAAATTCACAGGTTAAGAGGTTAAAACTCCGGAATGGTCCAATTTTTTTTACCGGTCCTTTGGACCGGTTACATGAAGAAAATTACCGGACATTTGAAATATTTACCGGTTTTGCCGGTGGGACCGGTGGATTTCAAAAACTCTGGTTTACTTATACTATCACTCCATCTAGTGAGATTACACATTTTGAACTCTACTGACCTCTTCTATTGGCCAATTAGAGTAAATGAATTCAACAGGTAATTCAAGATAATATTGGAAGTCGGTAATAAATTCAAAATAACTCAACTAAAAAGTTGAGACAAACCTTTAACTTGACTATTTAATGATAAAGACATTATCCTTAGGACTATAACTTGCATGTTAACTTTTCTGTTTTCGATTTAGTTTCAGGTTAAATTAAACAATGATTTTGATAGGTTCATGCAAACTTGCACGAAGCCAATCGGAGAGCGCATTTCTAACCCCATCAGTCTTAGTCTATTCGTTCAAGGGTTTATGTGGAGCGGAGTTGATCAGAAACCCTTGACTTGGGAAGATGCCTGGAAATGAATGTTTCTTATTGAATGTATAATGTTGTCTACCAGTGTATTTCTCACAACATGAACCTTAATATAGAGTATAGCAGGTTATTTTAGCGGGGTGCTACATGTAATTTTGGCTTATTTTGGCATTTTCATAATAGTCTGCTAAAATTTTAATCACTAAAATAGTCAGTACTTATCTTGGTGTTCATCCGCAAAGAGCTGAGACCTTGTGTCTGCTAAAATAAATAATGCCAAAATTATTGGCATACCTTTGGCCAGGAAAAATGCCAAATTTTACAGTAATTTTGTCTTTTGATATGCATATATGGTAAGTTTTACTAACCATCCTATTTCTATGATCTGGGCCATGTTTAAGATAATGGAAATAAATATGGTATTGTGATGAAGTGATCTACGCCTGAATTTAAATTTGTTTTTCAGCTCTGCATGCCACAAGGCCTCAGCTTTTGCACCCAGAGGGAATCAAAACGAGCAAGATTTCACTCCTTCTTGATAACGAAGGAAGATGGATCTCGAATATTTGGATCGGCCTTGACCTTTTTTGAAGAGGTCAGGGACAGAAAGATATGCGCTGCCATGCAGACCCTGCAACACATGTATCGAGCACAACCAGAAGAGGAAGTGGAGGAAGAGAACCAGTCAACTCTACAACTACGGCACAGTCCAAAAGTCACTAAACGATCTAGTCCCAGACAGAGCATAAAAGTCTTTGATTCACAAACTGACATGCTTTTTGTAACCAAATGTCTTTGTCTCATTACCCAGTATCCATTTGTTACAGCCCCTAGGGAATATCTAAAACAGCTGTATGAAGCCATAGAGAAACCATCTAAGTCACATCTGCCGTTAGAGAGTTATATTTATAACATTCTGACAGAGGTCCCTCTCCCACCCCCGGGACGAAGCATGAAGTTTTATGGTGTCTATAGGGCTGTGTTTACTCAGAGACCAAGTAAGTAAATATACAAGCATTAGAAAGTCTAACCATAAAAAAAAAAAATTGTATATGATTAGTGAGAAATACGATTAATTTTCTTAAAATTGCATATATGAACGATATTATTGGGAATCACATTTCATATTGTGTCGAACTTATTATGGTATTATTTATTATTATATTATCTATAGAATGTCTTTTTAACTGAGTCACTTGCATGGCATCTATGGAATGTATATTAAAGAAATAAACATCACACCAGATACATGTACAGACTCTGTTAGAAGTACCTATTGATTTTTTAAAAATCCATGTTGTTTTTAAACAATAACTGTATCATTCCCATATTTGTACAGTTTCTATTACAACAATTACAAATGGTATGAATATATTTAGAAAATTGGTTAAGGCTAACTTCTAAATCAATATAATAGATTTTAACATTCAGCTGGGAATTGGTTTTATTAGCAGGCTATATGTATATTCTAAGGGCTCCTGATTCTGTGGGATATGTCTTTTAGAAGCATAGATATTTTTTATAGAAAGTTACCCCTAAAAATTGGCCATTTGCTTAAAAGTAGTTTGTACTACACATTGACGGAGAAATAAGTCATTGAAATTGGTTTAGTCAATTGTGATCACAAGTGCCATCTTTAAATTTATGCAAAAAAAAATTCCTCATTGTTAATTTATATAGTATTTTGTTTTTGTTTTTTTTTTTTAAAGAGGTACAATTCATTCCCAACTTTCTTCCTTCCATGAAAATTACCAATTGAAAATTAGTACATACATGTACCATGTATAACTGTAGGAAATATAGCTTAAAATGTATATTACCACATACTTCTTGTTAATATTTTTTCTATTTTTCCTTGCAAAATTTTCCCTATTAAATATTTATTGACAAGATAACCTTTAATTAATTTAGTGTATTCAAGTAAACATTAAAGATTTATGCATGACTTACAATTGAGAAATCATGTTTTCACAAATTAACACTGTTAAATGAGATTAACTCATATTTGCTGCAAAAGTTCATATATATGCTATACATGTATGTCATATCGTATGTTCTGTTATGTTCACTAACCTTAATATTAATACTTATTTCTAACAAGTGGACTGGAGGGAGGTAAAAGGTAAAGCAGACTGTTGTATTATCTTGGTGTTTGATTTACCTCCCTTTTATAAATGAATATATACTATCCATGACAAAGGGGGATATTTGTGTATGAAATTATACTGAATGAAGTGCATGCTTTAAGAGTGCTACATGTAGCATTTCTGTATTATAGAAAGCCAAAGGTGCTTAAAGGCTTTAATGTATATTTGAGGGTAGTGGTTTACAAATCTATAAACATTCACAAATGTGTATATGTATGTGTGATTATCCTCAGGGTAATTATCTTCCTTTCTCTGATATTTAAAAATTATTTTATTTATATTTTATTCTTTATTTCAACATATGTATGTATCTCTGTTGTAAAACTTTATTTCTAAAGATAAGAAGGCAGCTCAAATGTTTGATCATGTTGATAAATAATTCTTTTTTTGTAATATTGCATTTTATGATTTCTGTAATAAATTTTAGTATTTATTTCATCATGCTCATATACTTGTAGCAATTTTCATGTTTTTACCCCAGTAAAGAATGTTGGGATTTAAAACTGCATTTTGATATACTTAATATGTGCTTTCTCTTTATCCTAATATATATATAGCTATTTATACACACTATTTATGTAAGACAGGGAAAGATTTTGCTGTATAGTACTGTGACGAAGCTGATCTTTGACTGATTTGATTGACAGGTGTGAGTGAGCTCCCTTTGTTTGACTTCTCTCTGTGGGACCTGTGTCGATACCTAGAAGTTAAAGATCTCATTCTACTCTTCACCAGCGTTCTCCTAGAGCATCAAATTCTTCTGTATTCATCTGGTAAGTTTATACCAATCAATCTATTAAATGATAAAAATACATCATCTAATTAATTATGCTCCCCTTCGAAGAAGGGAGGGCATATTGTTTTGCTGCTGTCTGTCTGTCGGTCGGTCTGTTGGTCCATTTAGTTTCCGTTCAGTTTCTTCATAACTGTTGCACATACTGAAATGAAATTTGGTATACAGGTATATCAGTTGAATATCTAGGTCAAGTTCTGTTTTGGGTACGATCGCACCATAATTGACAGAGTTATGCCCCTTGGACTTAGAAAAATTCCAATTATTTGCAGTTTCCGATCATTTTCTTTGGAGAGGTTGCACATTTTGAAATGGAACTTAGTATACAGATTAGTCAGATAAATATCTAAGTCGAGTTCTGTTTTGGGTATGATCGCACCATAATTGACAGAGTTATGCCCTTGGACTAAGAAAAATTCCATATTTTTGCAGTTTCTGTTCATTTTCTTTGGAGAGGTTGATTTAGTATATAGATTAGTCCGATGAATATCTAGGTCAAGTTCTGTTTTGGGTATGGTCGCACCATAATTGACAGAGTTATGTCCCTTGAACTTAGAAAAATTCCAATTATTTGCAGTTTCCCATCATTTTCTTTTGAGAGGTTGCACATATTGAAATGGAATTTAGTATACAGATTAGTCTGATGAATATCTAGGTCAGGTTCTGTTTTGGGTATGGTCGCACCATAATTGACAGAGTTATGCTCCTTGGACTTAGAAAAATTCCATATTTTTGCAGTTTCCGTTCATTTTCTTTGCAGAGGTTGCACATATTGAAATGGAATTTAGTATACAGATTAGTTCGATGATTATCTAAGTCAAGTTCTGTTTTGGGTACGATCGCACCATAATTGACAGAGTTATGCCCCTTGGACTTAGAAAAATTCCATATTTTTGCAGTTTCCGTTCATTTTCTTTGGAGAGGTTGCACATATTGAAATGAAGTTTAGTATACAGATTAGTCAGATGAATATCT